TGTTGAGGATTTCAAGATGGATGCTACCCACCTTTCAGGAGTCGGTGAAGGATGTCTGCGTCTTGCTGGGTGTCAAGGAAGAGAGGGCGGGCCTGGCGGGTGCGGCAGGACGTTCTGGCTGCAGACGCCCCTAAACCACCCACTACAGGCACCACCATCACTGCCCGCCGCCCATCACTGCCGCCCACAACTACCTCATCCCCCAGCGGACACTGTTCCTGACGACGCTCGCTGCTGCTGATGCTACTGTTCCTTCTGGCACCGTCCAAAGGCTGAACCTAAAAAAAAAAGCATGTAAGACTCCTGATGTGGGTTCAAGACTTTCAAAGATGTTACTTCGAGTCTTATCTCTGTCTAAAACAGTTTCCAATAGTCTGAAATATGTTTTTAACGGATCCTTAAAGACCTTCAATGACCATATTGTAAACGGTATAAGATATCGTTAAGTTGATGAGTGAGACACACGTGCAACATTTACTTATCTTTATTAACGAAACCTTTCGCCTTTTCTGCAGGTTTTTTTTTATAGACGAATACAGTAGAAGTGGAGAGATAGTTTGTCGGTATTTTATATCAGTTATTGGGTAATACTTGTCTGACACAGCAACACCACGGTGTCTTGGTATAAAGGATGTCTTCAACAACTCTGTTGCTAACAACTTTCAACGTGACCCCTCCTCCACTAGTGAGCCCAGCTCACTAGTGGAGATGACAAGTGAGCCCAGCTCACTTGTCACTAGATGACGAAACGTCTACACTGTGAAGATACCTAATTCTTCTCATAAGATAAGAGTACTTCCTATAGAGGACCCTCTGCCAAACCTGCCAAGCCAGACCCCACGTGGCGGTTACTTCAGCATACACCACTGCAGCATCCACCACTGCAGCATCCGCCACTGCAGCATCACTTCTAGTGAGCAGCGGACACTGATCTGGTTCCATAGTATATTTTCTTCTATAACGAGTTTAAGCCACCGCTAGCTAATTTTTAGGCCAGTATCAGTGGACTCAACTGCTGGTCAAGAGTGCTGCACCAGCGGCTCTCTTCTGTCACATGTGCTCTACTAAGAGTCCAGCTCTTGGACTACCGCGATTACGCCTTGTTTAGATAATTTTTTTATTTTAATAAAAATGTTAAAGTAATAATAATTAATAATAATAATAATAATAACTGAGTGTAATAAAGCGTAAAGTTTATTAAAATGTACAATTCCAAGCATTTTCCAAATTTCCTAAAGGGCTTAAAAAATAGAAAATAATATTTCACTGAGAAAATTCACTTCCCTGACCCACTCTTAAAACACCAGTGGCTTGTCCAGCCACTCCAAACAAACGTAACATATTGCATATTTAGGGATTGAGAAATGTACTGTTTGTATGTAGCCAGTATTATTGTTATAGCAATATACTCTGTGTTTACCCTTCTCACGTGTGTTTGTACTCACCTATTTGTGGTTGCAGGGGCCGAGTCATAGATCCTGGCCCCGCCTCTTCATGTATGGTTCCCGCCTCCACTACGTCACTTTCTAGGCTCTTCCACTGCCTGACAACTCTGACTGAAGAAATACTTCCTAACATCCCTTTGATTCATCTGAGTCTTCAACTTCCACTTGTGACCTCTTGTTTCTGTGTCCGTTCTCTGGAACATCCTGTCTTTGTCCACCTTGTCTATTCCGCGCAGTATTTTATATGTCATAAGAACATAAGAACATAAGAACGAAGGAACACTGCAGAAGGCCTACTGGCCCATGCGAGGCAGGTCCAAGTCCCTACCGGCTTAAGCCAATGCACCCAACCTAGTCAGGTCAGGTCACATTGACTTAAGGGAGGAACACGGCAACCGACCTGTTAGCACAAGCTATCAGGTCCAACTCACACCCACCCACATCTACTCATGTATTTATCCAACCTATTTTTAAAGCTACACAACGTTCTGGCCTCTATAACGGTACTTGGGAGTTTGTTCCACTCATCCACAACTCTATTACCAAACCAGTACTTTCCTATATCCCTCCTGAATCTGAATTTTTCCAACTTAAAACCATTGCTGCGAGTCCTGTCTAGGCTAGATATTTTCAGCACACTATTTACATCCCCTTTATTTATTCCTGTCTTCCACTTATAAACCTCAATCATATCCCCCCTAATTCTACGTCTTTCTAGAGAGTGCAGTTTCAGGGCCCTTAGTCTATCCTCATAGGGAAGGTTTCTGATACATGGGATCATCTTTGTCATCCTCCTTTGTACATTTTCCAGAGAATTTATATCCATTCTGTAATACGGTGACCAAAACTGTGCAGCATAATCTAAATGAGGCCTAACCAAGGATGTATAGAGTTGAAGAACAACCTGAGGACTCCTATTATTTATGCTTCTTGATATGAAGCCAAGGATTCTATTAGCTTTATTGCGAACACTTATGCACTGTTGTCTTGGTTTCAGATTACTGCTAACCAGAACTCCTAAATCTTTTTCGCAATCCGTAATATTAAGATCTACATTATTTAGTTTATATGTGGCATGGTTATTGTCCTGTCCAACATTTAGAACTTTGCATTTGTCTATATTAAACTGCATCTGCCACTTCTCCGACCACTGCATCAGTCTATTCAAATCTTCCTGGAGTGCTCGAATGTCCTCGTCAGAATGAATTCGACGGCCTATTTTGGTGTCATCGGCAAACTTGCCGATGTCGCTCTTTATGCCCTCATCTATGTCGTTTATGTAGATTGTGAACAGCAGGGGGCCCAACACTGACCCCTGTGGAACACCGCTCGTGACGCTTCCCCACTCTGATTTCTCCCCATTTATGCAAACTCTCTGCTGCCTATTTGTCAACCATGCCTCTATCCAGGAAAAAATTTCTCCTCCTATTCCATGTGCCTTAATTTTCCTCAATAGTCTCTGATGTGGGACCCTGTCAAAAGCCTTACTGAAGTCCATATACACAATATCATATTCATTACCATGATCTACCTCCTCAAATACCTTAGTGAAAAAAGTTAATAAATTCGTAAGGCAGGAACGCCCCTTTGTAAAACCATGCTGAGATTCGTTGATTAATTTATGCTTTTCAAGGTGGCTACGAACTGCCTCGGCAATTATTGATTCCATAAATTTTCCCACTATGGAGGTTAGGCTTATTGGTCTATAGTTCGAAGCTAAGGACCTGTCACCTGTTTTGAAAATAGGTATCACATTTGCCATTTTCCACTTATCTGGCACCATGCCAGTTTGTAGTGATATGTTGAAAAGATTAGCCAAAGGTGTGCTAAGCTCCTCTTTACATTCCTTTAGAACCCTTGCATACAGTTCATCAGGGCCTGGGGATTTGTTAGGTTTTAATTTATCTATTTGCCTAAGGACCATGTCACTTGTGACCCTAATAGTGCACAGTTTATTATCGTCCTGTTCTACATAATTTATCATTACTGGAATATCGCTGGTATCCTCCTGTGTAAAAACTGAGAGGAAGTATGTGTTAAAAATTCTACACATTTCCTTATCACTGTCAGTGAGCTGACCCGAGGAACTTTTGAGTGGGCCTATCTTGTCCCTGATCTTACTTCTGTATACCTGAAAGAATCCTTTTGGGTTAGTCTTCGATTCTCTTGCAACTTTAACCTCATAATCTCTATTTGCTTTTCTAATTCCCTTTTTTATTTCTCTCTTTAACTGAATATATCGATTTCTTAATTGCCCCTCTCCTCTTTTGATTTGCTATATATGCCTCTCTTTTGACCAATCAGATATTTTAATCTATTGTTCATCCATTTAGGATCATTTTTGTTTGATCTGATTTCCCTATTTGGAACATAATTTGACTGAGCAGCTAGAACTATGCCCTGGAAAGCATCATATCGGCAACCATCACCACCTACCTGACCCCTAGTCAGGTCATTCCAGTTCAGCCCACCTAAGTAATTTTTCAGTCCTATGAAATCAGCCAAGCGAAAGTCAGGGACGGAGACTTGATTGCCATTATTAGGGGAATTCCATGATATGTTAAAACTGAGTGATTTGTGATCACTCTCCCCAAGCTCATCATTAACCTCAAGATTATTAATTAGTGTTTCCCTACTGCAAGAACCAAGTCAAGGAGGTTATTTCCCCTAGTTGGCTCTGTCACAAACTGTTTTAAAAAACAATCCTGGATCGTATCAAGAAAGTCACCCGACTCTAAATTTCCTGTCAAATTGCTCCAGTCAATCTGTCTATAGTTGAAATCTCCCATTAGCACAACATTTTCGTATGTAGATGCCTTACGAATTTCGTCCCATAGAAGTTTACTGCACTCCCTATCAAGATTTGGGGCCCTGTAAATCACACCCAAAATTAGTTTTTCTCGGCCCTCGAGAAGCTGTAACCAAACAGATTCAGTGGCTGACGCTTCTAATTTAATATCTTGTCTAACACAACAATTTAAATTGTCTCTGACATACATCGCTACTCCACCACCTTTCCTGTTGACCCTGTCAGTGTGGAATAATTTATAGCCTTGTATGTGACATTCAGAGGGCATCTCTCTATCTTTCAGATTGAGCCAGGTCTCTGTTATAGCAATAATATCTATGTTTCCTGCACTTGCAATTAATCTTAGCTCATCTATCTTATTTCTAACACTCCTGCTATTAGTATAGTAAACCTTAAGGGAGCTAGTCCCTTGCTGCCCTCTGCTGTCCCCCTTTGTTTGCTGACCTGTTCTATTGTCTTTATTTATAACTTCATGCTGAATGCCTTTTGTACATTTACTGTTTCCAACCCTAGTGTTGCAACCTGCTTGTTTCCCACACACACCCATACCTCTATCTTCCATCAGTTTAAAATCATAGGCATTTCACCAATGGCCTTCTCAATCGAGTCTGCAAGTGCTACCACCCTGCCCCAGAGAGATGAACCCCATCCCTTGCATACATATCATGTTTGCCATAAAAGTTGTTCCAGTTGTCAATGAATGGGATTGCAAGTTCCTTGCAGTATCTGTCTAGCCAGCAATTTACACCAATTGCCCTAGACAACCATTCATTTCCTACTCCCCTTCTAGGCAAGATGCTACATATGATTGGGATCCCTCCCTTAGACTTAATGAAATCTATAGCTGACCTGTACTTATCTAGCAGCTCTTCTCTCCTACCCTTCCCAATATCATTTCCACCAGCACTGAGACAGATAATGGGCTTGTTCCCATTACCTGACATGATATTATCCAGTCTGTTGACAATGTCCCCAACACCAGCTCCAGGGAAGCACACTCTATCTCTCATCTTCTTATTCCTATTACAAAAAGCACGATCAACATATCTTACCTGAGAGTCACCAACCACAAGAATGCGCTTACCTTCATTAGCAGGGGCAGTAGTACCCTTACCTTCACTGGCCACTGAAGTACATTCATCCTGGAGAACAGAGAAGCGATTTCCTACCTTCAGATCTGCACTCTTAACTTTCCTTACTCTGATGCGCCTCCCTTTACTGTGAACAACTCGCCACTTGTAGCAGGTGCTGGGCTGCACCTCACTGCTGGTAGCCGTTGCTACCACCCCACCTACAGCCTCCTCACAGTGAGAGACAGACTGCACCTCACTGCTAGAAGCCTCATTCCCCACATCTCCAACCACCTCACACTCTCTCCCAGGCCCATTGAGGTGGACCTTCAGCCTCCTAATCTCCTCCTGGAGAAGCAAGACCTCCTCCTTCAACTCTCCAACCTCAGCTTTTAAAACACTGTAGAAGCAAGCCATGCTTTGTAACCGTCCACGCTAATCCCCAAGCAGCTCAGGGTCTGTGACCTCACGTGACGACTGACCACTGAACACTGTCGTTATCATGTCTCCCCTAACCCGTCTGTCCTCCAGTGTCGTCAGGCCGATTTTCCTCAACCTTTCTTCGTAGGACAATCCCCTTAGCTCTGGGACTAGTCTTGTTGAAAACCTTTGTACTTTCTCTAATTTCTTGACGTGCTTGACCAGGTGTGGATTCCAAACTGGTGCTGCATACTCCAGCATGGACCTGACGTAAATGGTGTACAGAGTCTTGAACGATTCCTTAATGAGGTATCGGAACGCTATCCTTAGGTTTACCAGACGCCCATATGCTGCAGCAGTTATCTGATTGATGTGCGTCTCAAGAGATGTGCTCGGTGTTATACTCACCCCAAGATCTTTTTCTTTGAGTGAGGTTTGCAGTCTTTGGCCACCTAGACTATACTGTGTCTGCGGTCTTCTTTGCCCTTCCCCAATCTTCATGACTTTGCATTTAGAAGGATTAAATTCAAGGAGCCAGTTGCTGGACCAGGCTTGTAGCCTGTCCAGGTCTCTTTGTAGTCCTGCCTGATCCTCGACCGATTTGAGTCTCTTCATTAACTTCACATCATCTGCAATCAAGGACACTTCTGAGTCTATCCCTTCCGTTATGTCATTCATATATACCAAAAACAGCACAGGTCCTAGGACTGACCCCTTGTGGAACCCCGCTTGTCACAGGCGCCCACTGACACCTCGTCACGTACCATGATTCGTTGTTGCCTCCCTGTCAGGTATTCTATGATCCATTGCAGTGCCTTTCCTATTATGTGTGCCTGATCCTCTAGCTTTTGCGGTAACCTCTTGTGAGGAACTGTGTCGAAGGCCTTCTTTCAGTCCAAGAAAATGCAGTCTATCCACCCCTCTCTCTCTCTTGTCTTACTTTTGTCACCTTCTCATAAAACTCCAGTAGGTTTGTGACACAGGATTTTCCTTCCCTGAAAGCGTGCTGGTTGTCGATTATACATTTAGTTTCTTTCCAGGTGCTCCACCACTCTCCTCCTGATAATCTTCTCCATGACTTTGTATACTATACACGTTAGTGACACAGGTCTGTAGTTTAATGCCTCATGTCTGTCTCCTTTTTTAAAAATTGAGACTACATTTGCTATCTTCCAAACCTCAGGGAGTTGCCCAGTTTCAGTGGATGTGCTGAAGACCTTTGTTAGTGGCACACACAGCATGTGTACTCACCTAGTTGAGGTTGCGGGGGTCGAGTCCGAGCTCCTGGCCCCGCCTCTTCACTGATCGCTACTAGGTCACTCTCTCTGAACCGTGAGCTTTATCATACCTCTGCTTAAAGCTATGTATGGATCCTGCCTCCACTACATCGCTTCCCAAACTATTCCACTTACTGACTACTCTGTGGCTGAAGAAATACTTCCTAACATCCCTGTGATTCATCTGTGTCTTCAACTTCCAACTGTGTCCCTTTGTTACTGTGTCCAATCTCTGGAACATCCTGTCTTTGTCCACCTTGTCAATTCCTCTCAGTATTTTGTATGTCGTTATCATGTCCCCCCTATCTCTCCTGTCCTCCAGTGTCGTCAGCCTATTCTCTGTCTGCTGTCTTCTTTGCCCTTCCCCGATCTTCGTGACTTTGCATTTGGCGGGGTTAAATTCGAGGAGCCAGTTGCTGGACCACGTGTCCAGCCTGTCCAGGTCTCTTTGTAGTCCTGCCTGATCCTCAACTGATTTAATTCTCCTCATTAACTTCACATTATCTGCGAACAGGGACACTTCTGTGTCTATCCCTTCCATCATGTCATTCACACATTCCAAAAATAGTACTGGTCCTAGGACTGACCCCTGTGGGATCCCGCTCGTCACAGGCGCTCATTGTGATACCTCATCACATACCATGACTCGTTGTTGCCTCCCTGTCAGGTATTCACTGATCCATTGCAGTGTACTTCCAGTTATACGTGCCTGATCCTCTAGCTTCTGCACTAATCTCTTGTGAGGAACTGTGTCAAAGGCCTTCTTGCAGTCCAAGAAAATGTAGTCAACCCACCCCTCTCTGTATCTTATTTCTGTTACTTTGTCCTAAAACTCCAGAAGGTTTGTGACACAGGATTTGCCTTCCATGAATGTGTGCTGGTTGTCGTTTACAGTCTTGTTCCATTCCAGGTGCTCCACCACTCTCCTCCTGATAATCTTCTCCATGACTTCCCATACTATACACGTCAGTGACACTGGCCTATAGTTTAGTGCCTCGTTTCTGTCTCCTTTCTTAAAAAAGGGGACTACATTTGCCGTCTTCTATGCCTCAGGTAGTTGCCCAGTTTCAAGGGATGTGTTGAAAATTGTGGTTAGTGGCACACACAGCGTCTCTGCTCCCTCTCTAAGGACCCACGGAGAGATGTCCGATCCCACCGCCTTTGAGTTATCAAATCTACTTAAGAACATAAGAAAGAAGGAACACTGCAACAGGCCTACTGACCCATGCGAAGCAGGTCCGTGCCACCCTCCCGGCCCCCAGCTTCTCCACCTCCTCCTCAGTTGTGTGCATTTCATCCAACACTTGTTGGTATAACCCTTGTTAGTGTCCCCCTCTGTTCTGTCTTCCCAGAGTCCTCCCAGTCTCTACTGTAAACACTTCCTTAAATCTCGTGTTGAGCTCCTCACATACCATGTGTGTGTGTGTGTGTGTGTGTGTGTGTGTGTGTGTGTGTGTGTGCGCGCGCGCGTGTTTTCACATGCTACCACTCCCTCCACTTGCTACTGCTTGCTCCTGGCGATGCTGTTACTTGCTTCTTCTGCTACCGATTACCCTGTATTCTACTGCTTGTCCCATATGCTACTGCTTGTCCCATGTTTTACTGCTTGTTCCATGCGTTACTGCTTGTTCCGTGTGTTACTGCTTGTTACATGTGTTACTGCTTGTTCCGTGGGCTACTGCTTGCTGTGTGTGCTACTGCTTGTTCTGTGGGCTACTATTTGTGCCGTGGGCTACTTGTTCCGTGGGCTACTGCTTGCCTATTTAGAACAGTCGACTACAAAATAGCAACTGCGCCAAACATTACAAACAATTCAGTCAAAGGAACGTGGATGGTCATCCTTTTCTGTCCTTGTATTGATAAAGCAACTAGTTGGCGAAACGTCTGCAGGTAGAGATACCCAGATGTTACACATGTGTCTAATTCGTCATGGTCATCCCAGCTAAGAACTTTAAATCGTATCAAATCTGCTAAAGCTTGTTTAACGTTTTATCAGCTTAGTTACCTCATCAAGCTGGATCATCAGTGCTCATTCTCAGTTTGAGTTTAAAGGCCTTATATTTTTCTCCCATTGTTTATTTCAAAAATTCCGAAATAGGGTACATTAATCGTACTGGTAAAAATACCATGTAATACCGACAGGTTGATTGAAAAAGGCACAAAATACCAACATGGACATTTTTAATCGAAACGTTTCGGTACTCGACCTTGGTCACTTCCCCCGAAAAAAAATATTATGTACTGCCTTGAGAAAATTTAAAAACAGAATGACATTTAATACATAAAAAATTGCTAATTACTCCAAAACGAAATTAAAGCGAACGTCACTCAAAGAAATTGTATATATAAGCGATTTTCCTCTCTACGAAGCGACAGAAATTTAACACAGAATCTGTGGATAAAAGACAGTGATTTGGAGAAGCCAATTACACAGTCCAATGTCATAAAATTATGGAGGGATAAAACGTTGGAGGATGGAGGAGGGAAAAAGGTCAGTGGTTGAGTGGTTGATTTATGGAGGGAAGCATTGCAATGAGAGGTTAGTGTGAAGGGTGATTGAACAGCCGGAGACTGGTGGGGGTGGGGAGTTAATGGGAGGGTGGATATGACGGAGGAGGGGGTGAGGTAGGAGGAAGGTGGATGTGAGAAGGGGAGAGGTAGTGAGAGGGTAATGAAGGAGGGGGAGGTAGTGAGAGGGTAATGAAGGAGGGGGAGAGGAGGAGAGAGGTAGTGAGAGGGTAATGAAGGAATGGGAGGTAATGAAGGAGGGGTAATGAGAGGGTAATGAAGGAGGGGTAATGAGAGGGTAATGAAGGAGGGGTAATGAGAGGGTAATGAAGGAGGGATAATGAGAGGGTAATGAAGGAGGGATAATGAGAGGGTAATGAAGGAGGGGTTAGAGGTTGTGAGAGGTGTGGCAGCGTAGTGACCACTAACCTTCCACATAGTAGCCTCACAGATCACTGCTCTCAGACATAACTATAAAGAGACAAACAATTACAGATGAAACACACATAATCACAGACGAGACAGACATAACTACAGCCAGTGTCAGTCACACTGACAGTACACTTACAATCTGAAACACTACTATATATACCCCGAGTCAGTGTCTCTAGGCTTGAGTATAACGAGCTGTGTTGATGGTGTAGTAGCAGCAGGGACGGATCTACTATGAAACTAGTGAAGCTTAAGCTCCAGGGCCCCCTAATCCCGGAGGGGCCCCAGAAGCAACTTTAGTCCGCATTGCTTTAAAAATTTTGGGTCAACTGTACGAGAAAGTTTTTTTTTTTAAATAATAATATTAATAATATATTGTAATTCAATACAAAATAATAGTTAAAATTAAAATTAAAAGTTTGGCAACCAACTAGCTTGGTTGCCAAGGTGACCCCATAATAGTTCAAGCGTCTGGTCCCCAAAAATGTAGGTCCGCCACTGAGTAGAAGCGCTAACCAGAGGAACAGAACACACGTGTATGTAGTAGCCGATGGCATTCTGAAAGGTCAGAGCAGAAGTGACCACTGACCTACCTGTGCTGGACTCAGTGGTTTGAGAGCCAAACTGATGAGTGCCTCGGCTGGATGTCATCGTTAGCTTATTCATCAGGAGAAAGATATTGTAACACGGGTCTGTCTTAAGAGAAACATAAACAATCTTAAGAGAAACAGCTTTGTTTCTTCAGCAAAACTGAATACATGATAAGTGCTCTGCAACCCTATTCTATACCATGGTTACACATAAGGAACTAGAGCTATGTTTCTGTGTAATTTCCCATCACACTATGTGATTTCACACATAGTGTTGAAATCTGTCAGCCAGAGCAGGGAGACTTCAGTAAGATAACGAGAATACCGTCAAGTATTCCATTAAGGTTCGTCAGCTATGGCAGCATCAACAGTTAACATCTTTCACGACGGTCTATTCCATACACAGGAGAAATGTGTTGTTTATGACGCTCTGGTGGGGAAAAGGGAACTGACAAGCCTGTCTAGGAGTTCTCAGATTATTCTTCAACTCTATATATTGTTGCTTAGGCCTCATTTACATTATACTGTACATTTCTAGTCGCCGAATTACATAAAGGACATAAATGCGCTGGAAAACGTATAGAGAAGGATGACATAGTTGATCTTTCTATATATTAGGAAAGGTGGATGCAGCCAGTGGCTTTATTGAATGTCATACGACCCGCAGCCGCTGGCCTACCCGTGCAGGACACAGTTGCTTGAGTATATGTGGAGGGGTGGGATGGTAACAGAGGTAACTGGAGAGAATATATACGAAATTGAGGTCAGGTCACATGACCTGACTCCCGAGTTATGTCAGCCTACCTAAGAGCTGCGTCACCGCCAACCATGTCAAGAGGTCACATCTCCACTGACCCTCTGGTGTGTCAAAATTGAGAATGGCTTTTATGCCATCAAACTCTAATATGTTTTCTTGTGTAGCTGTAATTTGTATAATGGATTATCTCTGTTTCGATCAGTAATGTAATTTTGCCAAATTACAAACTTATCAAGGTAATTTAAAGGCTTCTATATTATAGTTATTTTCCTCTTGCTGAGTAACATAAATAACCTAATTGCCTAATTTATTTAAGTAATCAAATACCATGTTTTGTAAAGAAAAGCCACACCGAGCGAAACATAGTCGCAATAAGTGTTTGGTCATCAGTCTGTGAAACCAAAGGTTAAATCTTAAGAGTTAAATTCTCCCTTAAGATGAGGCAACCAAAGGCTGTGAAGTTGACATCTACAGAGCCTAGAAGTGCATTAAAAGGTCATTTCTGAGGTCAAAGGTTACAACTTTAGAGAGAGAGTCCACCCCTGAGGACTGGACGCTCCTCCTTTATAGAAAGTTGGTCTAGTGAAGGTTGTCAGTCAATGTAGCTGATTTGCATATGAAATTTGTGTTATTTTTTCACATATTTGCCAGCCAATTCAGAATAATCGTCTCTCCTCCTTCAATGCAATCAAGATAATCGTATGCAACGTAAAGTAATCAAGATAATCATATGCAAGGTATCATTTTCTGGGAGAAAGCTATTAATCATCACACGGGAAACTGGTTGGCAGGTCTGGCACTTTGACCAATAAAGAACCTTGCATATTTAATTAGGAATCGTAAGGGAAAAATCCAATATCAGGGGGATGGTAGTTTGTGCCCCTCCCCCCACACTACCCTCCTGTCTACTTGACCCCCCTTTCCCTCTCTCTCTCTCTCTCTCTCTCTCTCTCTCTCTCTCTTTCACTCTTCCACTATTTTATTGACACTGGCTATCTCTCACTCGATCACACATTCGCTTGTTAGTTCACTTCTGGACTTACTCGCCGACTCATCCTTTAGCTAACTTACCTAATCACTCACCCTCTCACTAACTAAAACTCCCATAAACAATCCCACATTAAATCACTAGCATACCTATTCACCTCAACGCTCGCTTACTCACCCTATTTCCCGGTCACTCACCCATTTTATCGCACACGGAATTAGTCACTGATTCAATGTCTCGCTTAAACACCCATACTCGTTCTATCACCCCCCATCTCCTAATGTATGACCTGTTTTCAGTGTCCAATACTTCTTCGGTATGAAAGGGAGCCTTGGGTTATGTGTGCACTCACGACACATGAGCTCGACACATCAGAGGCATCAGTAGTAGATGGAATATCACCATCAGTGTTATGAGGAGCCGAAGTCCTGTGCAAGTCACTCGTATCTATATCTTTGAATAATTCTTACCGATGGTAAAGTCCAGGACGATTGGAAGGCAACAAATATCATGCCAATATTCAATAAGCATAGAGAACAAAAGTACCGTGGCTGGATCTATTCACTGAAATCCCATACTTAGGAGAGAAACCTTGTGACAACGTTTCGATCCGTTCTGAACCACTGTCAAATCGCAGTAGTGATTTGATAATGTCCAAGACTAACCAGCCTAAGCTAGTCAGGTTCAAGTCACATCCATTTAACAAGGAAGATACAGATATACATAGAATTTCAAAAGCAGATAAAGATAAAAAAAAGAAGGGTCACAAAGGATAGAGAAGAACAAGGAGTCACTATAAAGGATGAAGCATCGGTGTAGCTGTATATAATTACTGGAGTTCCACCAGAATCACTGCTGGGACCCATACTTTTCAACGGGTTTATATTCATTTTCTGATTGGAAAACTTAGCTTCTCGATGATGATAGACTGCTTCAAGAACTAATTATTAGACACATGTGCAACTTCTGGGAATTTTATTTGTAGATATTTCGCCATCTAGTGGCTTTATCAATACAAATTCGAGGACATAATAGAAAGACTATATCACTGTATACAAAAGACGAGGAATTCAATCCCTCAGCCTTGGAGCTAATGAGCACTACCGTGCACGTTATTATTATTATTATTATTATTATTATTATTATTATTATTATTATTATTATGAAAATGTTTAAAATATGTATTAAACCTCTATGGGTTATAGAGTATTGCAGTTAAAAAGATTTCCCTGCTTTTTTATTTTTAAATAATTTTTAATTTAAGAAAAAAATGCATGTGTAGCGCAATAAGCTCGACCCATTGAACTCTTGCACTCTAGCGGTGAATGTATAGGCCCAGCTAGGCCTGTGAGAACTAGGCCTTTTGTCACTAGGGGTAGGTAAAACACTGAGTAACACTATTCTCACGCCCATAATGCATCTACATTACAAAGGCAAGGAGACAACTACAGGAAGGCAACTACGACCAGGTTAGTATATGTAAGATTCGTCAGGAAACAGTACGTGTTTAAAAAACTCACTTGCCGTGGGTTCAATCCCTGCCCGTTCCTTGGTTTCTTTGCAATTGTGTTATCACGATTCCGTGACTCAGAACAAGTGTCTTTTGACGCGGGTCTTAGTCATATGATGACCCGCATCTGGAGCTTTTGATCATCTGCCCAAGGCCTTCCACTGGCTTACCGGTCCATCCTTCTAAAAATTAAAATGTGTTATTTTCTTGTGATGGGAAAATCCATGGACCATATTTGGAAACTGCACTTCCAGTTAAGATGCTGTATAGGAATATAAAAAAATGTCTAAGAATTGATAAATAAGTGGAGCGAGCAGACTGGAAACTAACTCTTCATTCTACAAGGGTTGACTAATATTTATGAGAGTGGTCGAGTATGTCAGTCAGAAGTTTAAAGACGAGACAGGAACTGTAGCTCACCACACACACACACACACACACAGTGTGTGTGTGGAGCACCTGTAACGGAGCAAGATTATAAACGATAACCAGCACGGATTCATGGAAGGAAAATCCTGTGTCACAAACCTTCTGGAATCTTATGATAAAGTGACAGAAGTAAGACACGAGAGAGAGGGGTGGGTTGATTGCATCTTCTTGGAATGTAAGAAGGCCTTCGACACAGTTCCTCACAAGAGATTAGTGCAGAAGCTAGAGGATCAGGCACGTATAACAGGAAGGACACTGCAATGGATCAGAAAATACCTGACAGGGAGGCAACAACGAGTCATGGTACGTGAGGAGGTATCACAATGGACGCCTGTGACGAGCGGGGTCCCACAGGGATCAGTCCTAGGACCAGTGCTATATTTGGTATATGTGAATGACATGATGGAAGGGATAGACTCAAAAGTGTCCCTGTTTGCAGATAAGTTAATGAGAAGATTTAAATCAGATGCGGATCCAACAGGACTATAAAGAGGCCTGGACAGACTGGACACGTGGTCCAGCAACTGGCTCCGAATTTAACCCCGCCGAATGCAAAGTCATGAAGATCGGGGAAAGGCAAAGAAGACCGCAGACAGAGTATAGTCTAGGTGGCCAAATACTGCAAACCTCACCCAAGGAGAAAGATCTAGGGGTGAGTATAATACCAAGCACGTCTCCGGAGGCACACATCAACCAGATAACTGCTGCAGCATATGGACGCCTGGCAAACCTGAGAATAGCATTCCGATACCTCAGTAAGGAATC